AAAAGTAGACAAATTCACTTACCTCTCAAAATTTTTCTGGTTTTCTAACTATGCGACAAGAGCTGTTACAAGTTCATCCAAGCTGGTTATTAACTTTCCCATGGTAACGAATCTTGTACTATGAGTGAAATTGATGATATTCTGTTCAGAATACAACATTATACAATACATAATTTGATAGATGAAAATCTTGACTTTCTATTGGTTATAGGTAATATATATAATGAAACGTAAGAGAGAACTATCAATGAATTGTGAAAGAGAGGATGTGACAAGTGAGTGTGGCAGGAGGGGTCTGATTTACTATTCGATAGTTCTGTAAGCAAACAAAATTGAAGTCTATATAAACTATGGTTAGTTTAAGCAATAAAGATGTTATAAAAAGTATTTTACATTTAATTTCATATATTTTCGAGGGAAGATGAATAAAATAGAGAAGATTACATGCTAAGACAAAACGTGTCACATGGGTCACACTAGTGGAAATTCAGGATATTTTTAATATTCTCTTGTAGAAATAAGAACTTAAAATTTGTATATTATTAAAATATGGACTATTAGCTGAGATTTTATACTATTCTAATTGGTATAACATAAACAAAAAGTAGTTTAATAAAATTTTGAATGTAAGACACTAAAACCTGGTGTCATGTGCAGTAAAGGGTACCTGGGGCGTTAAAAACAAAGCTGTCTCAAATCCTCATGTGGAAAATCAACCATGATTTTTTTTACACCAAGCAGATAAGATTTTCAATGTGAGTTAAGGAACTTGCATAATTTTTGTATACATCTGACTTTCTGAGGAGAAAAGTGTGCTGAATTTCCCTTACATTTTTTTGTTTTACAAAAAATATACTGCAGTTACGTTAGAGCTACTTGTGTTCTCGTGACACAATGAAAACACAGAGTTCAAAAAATACATATTTTTTACTTCTAATAAAAAGCAATGGTCATATTATCACATCATCTATGGTTACTTATAACTCATAATTTTAGCCTTTCATAATTAACAATTAAGCTACAAATCTATAATGTTTAACCTCATGTTTGATATTTCTAGTGTTTCTATAACATTTAAACTTCCAAACCTAAAAAGACTCTCTTTTTGTTTCTGTCTCCAAAAAGGAACATCCCATAACTCTAGCTTAGCTTCAAAACCACACTCAGCAGCAAACTCTTGGAGTTCAGATAATTCCTTTTCTGTGGCTGCTTTGCTTTTTAACCTCAACCTGTGTAAAGAGTTAAGCTGATCTTCCATTATAAATACTAGAAGAAACATGTTAGTAAGGGAATAAGTAATACTTTAAATCATAAAATAGTACAATACAATATTTGAACTATAAAATCACTATATATATATACACATACATACAGGCCTACCTATTGTAGAAACTGAAATTAACATAGTAATCTGTATTATATATACATACATGAAACTACCTATTTATCATAAGTTTAAAAATATTATATTTAATCTAATGAAAAGAATGATGAGCAAAGATAGAATGAAATCTTATTATAATTTCAATACAATTTTGGTTTTAATATTTGCTTATAAAATATAACTAGAAAATATTGTTTGTTTACTTTAAAATAAAAAAGACAAAAAAATTTCTCTCTCTTTTTTTTTGTTACTATTCCTGGGTAGAGATGATCATTATAAATAATGTTAAAAAACAGTACATGGTTCACACAAGTTAATGGAAAAAAATTCCAAGATCAAACTGTCATTTTCACAGGCCTAATTTAATAGAACATGAACTCCACAATAACAAATCTTTTATTATACTTTATAAAAAGATGCAGTAACAGCTGTACACCTGAACTATCAAAACTACACTTATTCAAGCAAAGGAAAAAAAAAAAAAGACAATGAATAAAATTGTTAAAAGAAATTCTAAATGTTCACATATTGCTGAACATAGCACTAACAAGTTCTTTACCATTTACAAATTTTGGGCAATAACTTATGAAGAACTAAGGTTAGAAGTAGTGTTTATGTTTAAGAAGGAAATTCTGAAATATCTATGCTCTTTATCCAATCAACAACTTTTATGATTTTAGATTTCCACCAAATGAGTCTTCAGCTTATTTTACACTAACAATAGTCATGTGATACGTTTCACTGCAGAACAAGGTATGTAATTCAAAAACCTATTACTAATCGGTGTTTCAACTCAGCATATTTCCTATTTTTCAAGTCATATTTTCTAGATACTGTTTTTACCTAAAAATGAGAAAACACAATATGGCTTGTTGTCAATAAAAGCAAGGAACTGATAGGGTTAAACCTTTAAGGGCTCTTTTGGAACCTATCAATAAAAAGATCATTAATTTTCCAGGATTTATAGTACTGAAAAATTTATTTAACAAATTTTGACTTTACAAGATTTTCATGATCTATGCAAAACCTGATCAACAAGAACAAAAATATCATTAAATATGTTATTATCAGTAAAGAAAGTTTAATAAAAAAGAAAACAGTACATACGTTGTTATCATTGACAAAGCATTTTCTACATTTCCAGCCATTTTGGTTTCCATAGACATTTGAGCAAAATTATTGTAGCCAAGAAGCTTGGCTTGTTCTTTCCTATAAAAGAAACATAATTTAATTACTTGGAGTAAATTCACAAGCAAGATAAATATATTTATATCATGAGCATATCGTAGTACATTTAACAAAATCATCAAGGATTCCAATTTTTTATGTTATCAGTGAGGTGCCCAAAATTTTAGACAAACATTCAGTCAGAATACTATCTCGGCCACAAAAAATACAGAGATCTTAATATAATACAAAAAAGAATTAAAACAGTTTTAAAAAAAGAGTGATAATCACTACATAAAAACAAAACCTTAGTTTTAATCATAATTTAAAAAGAATGTTTACATTCAGTGATGGTCATCAGCCTGGTTCAGGTCCAGATTTTTTGAGTATGTTTATATATATATATATACTTACATAACAGAAAAAGTATTATTTTACTGAACCCAATAGTCATTACTACATCCAATGAAAAGAGGTTAACACATAAGAGACAGGCTGAATGTTCAATCTTTATAAATCTGAGAAGCCCAGTAACTGTTTTCATAACACAGTTTCAAGCAATTTTCAAAAATGTATCATGTATTATTAAAACACATAGATACACTTCAAAATCAATATACTAAGTAAATCACTTCTGGCTTTGAACACAAATTCTAGAAGCTAAAACCAGAGGAAACTAACTACTATGGTGGTTCTACTGTCAACTCATATTTATATGATAAGCATCCTGCATCAAAAATACAAGCTTTAGTATGTGTCCTTCATGGATCTGCCTAATTACTACTCATCACTTACCTTACAGAACGTATTTCTTCTATTTCAATACTATTATTTACATCTTGACTGGTTGCTGAGGCCAGGGTTACGTTAGCATTCCATATGTTCCACCGAAGTAGTCTATCACTGCAAAACTTCATGAAAGGGTTATAGATATGTGGATCCAAGGTAACAATCCAGGGGCCTCGAGAAGGATTAGTTCTGCCAAGTTGAAAATGTTTGTTAAGTCCTTGGCAATAAAAATGTTACAGATTTATATGATTGCTAGATAGATAAATAATTTTACTTACAAAACTAATTTTAGAGAAACAAGGCTCAGCCATCCTATCTTTCAAAGTTATAATTTTACTATACTGAAAATGTATTTCCAATAGGTACTTATTTCTTCTCAGATAATTAGTTATTCTCATTCAGTGTTGCCCTCTATGTGGAAAAACAATTTTACACAATGCCTTTTGACTCCCCTCCATTGGAAAGGACTCATTCCAATGTGTCTCTCATGCAAACCATCATGCAACAACTCTCCTCCAGTGAGAGTGCATTGCACTCTCATTATGCACGTGACTTCCTCTATTCAATTCTACCAGATTATCACTTCGAGTTTTGGCAGAAAATGGAAGCACTGGTTTTCATTGTGGAGGAAGGGTGGGAAATGTGAGCAGAAATAAGTACTTATCGGAAATACATCTTCAGTATAGAAAAATTATAACTTCCGATACGGTACATTACCTTTTCTCACATAAATAGCTAGAATCCCACATTGAATAGGTGGAGGACTGGTGCGAGGGAAGAAAAGAAGCATCCAAAGAACACACCTTGAGACTAGAGAGTCAGATTTGAAAATCTGATGTGGGAGTCCACACGACTTCTGAACCAGGTATACTCTTCGCCCATTTGAGAAAAGTTTCATATAGATGGGCAGAAAAAACAGAAAAGCACATCCAATTGGTGTGGGAAAAAACAATGGAAGTGTCCCCAGGTGTAGAGTGGCTAGGGTGCTACAGAGCATACTCGGCAAGTCAACTACACCCAAAACCCATGCCACTGGGAACTGAAATCCATGCAGGGGTAGGATGAGGATCATACTGTCTTCTCCTCAAGTTCAAGAGACCGGAGGGGGATCTCAAAGCCCCTTGACTTCAGAACAGGACACATGTTAAGAATAGAAAATGATATATCAACCTAGGAACCTGGGAAGAAAATAGACATCCATAATACACGTGTGAGGACTTATGTTGATTTGTTCTACTCTAAATCCAAAACTCGGCCAGTGGAAACCGACTTCCACGTGGGGGTAGGATGAGGGATCCCAATTGAAGAGGTGAACTACAAGTTGATGTCTCACTCCTTTGGTTTACATATGCGTTATAGAGGAGGATATCACATCTCTGCACTGAATGGTATTTCTGTATTGATATTTTATGTCATTAAACCATTCAGGAGGATGCCTCCACGGTCTCCACCCCACTAGAAGAAGGTGGGGGATAAATGTGGTAGAGGGTCAAGAGGAACATCAACATCCAAGACAGTGTAATGGGTGACTATGAAACCCTATTTTGAAAAGCAGACAATACCGATTTATTCAATACAAGGCATGACAGGGATGAGCAGGTATCCCCCTTCTGCTTTACCCATGAAGTCCGTAGGTGGTACGGTTCGGGACGGCTATATTTATCAAGCAATTTCATTGTGAGAATAATCCTCAAGCAATCTTGTGGAATAACCCATCTCAACAGTGTGCACTGCATGGGCATGTAACATATTAAACTCGTCGACATGGCTGAACAGTGCTGATTTTAAACGTTAAAGAATACCTGGTCAGGCAACACTCCCCAAGGAACTGGATCCAAACATTGAGAAGTATGATGAAAAAGGAAATAAGGCCCTGAAAATGTAAAAAAAAAAGAAGAAGTATAACTTACCCAGTCTTATATACGAAAGACTGAATAATGGCCAGAGGCAGAAGACAAATTCCGAAGAGGAAGAAACAGCGATCCTACGCAAATAATGAGAGACGAACATATTAGGTGTAGTCTACATGCCCGACTGAAGAATTTCCTTCAAGGGATGACAAAGATGAGAAGCCAGAGAAAAGGTAAGGAGTCTAATTTGATGAGAAGACACCTGGAACAAAGTACGAGAGGAACAAGCTAATCGAATCAAAAGCTGAACCCAATTTGTGAAGGGTAGAAGGAGAAAGATCATGAACAGAGGATGGTTGCCAAGGTATAAATAGGCAGGAATGGAAGCCATGTGAGCAATATAATAATGAAGAGCATGTATACCTGGATCAGGCTGAGTATAAATGTGGGAAAACGAAGAAATGGAAATCGGTGAAAAGGAAGAGTTACCCTCCCTAGCAGCCAAGGTTTTAGGGAGGAAAGAATGATCCAGATAAAGGAGAAGATATGTAGAATGATAAAGTGTACACAAAACATCAATGACAAATAATCAGACTGCCAACATCCACAGGCTAGCAGGAATAGAAAAAAAGACTTAAGGGAAAGATGAAACAAGGAGCACATGGAAAGTGGTTTAAATGGAGGCAATGGAGGACCACATTAACATCCCAGTCTCTAAGGGCAGCCCACCATGGAGGACAATGAATCTGGAAGGAAATGATAAACAGGGAGTGTGTAGGAGAGGTAAAAATGCTATGGTATGGGGAAAAACGATAGGTGTGGGATAAAATCACTCGATAACCAGAAATTATGGAGATAGAGGATTCCTGATCAAAAAGCCAAGTAAGAAATTCTGCAGTACATGGAACAAAACTCCTGGCCCACAGACCAACAGTGGAAAACATTCAATTTATGCTGATAAACTTCCATAGAGGAAGGGTGGACAAAATGGGCCAAAAAATGAAGCTACACATTGGAACAATCCCAATCTTCTCATCAAGGACTAGACAGAAACCAAGCTTGAAGATGGAAGACATGATGAGTGGGATGAAGCACCAGTGACTGAGGTTGCTGAAAAAGGGAGGGAGACAGAGGGTAAATTGGAGCTGGATAAGTCAAGGAAACCATGGCTGAGCTGGCCAGTAAGGAGCAATCAGAAGGACCTGGCACAGAGTGATGATCAAAATCACCCAGGGAAGGATTCAAATGGGAGGATAAACATAAAGGTATTTGTCGGTCCAATTCTGACTAAAAGCATCAACATCCAGGGCAAGAGGATGAGGTACCAGAGACCAAAACAGAAGGAGTTGTGGTTGAGGGATGTGGCAAATGCATTGATGTGAGGAGTACCCCATTGAAGGCAAAGCCATCAGAGTGGTATTGATGATTAAAATTACCTGGGGAAGGAGTCGAATGGGAGGATAAACATAAAGGTATTTTTTGGTCCAATCCAGACTGAAAGCATCAACAGCCAGGGCAAGAGAATGAGGTATTGGAGACCAAAACAGAGGGAGATGTGGTCGAGGGATGTGGCAAATGCATCGGAAAACCATAGGATTAAAAGACCACACTGTCAGGATGGGAAAGATGATCTGGAGGGAAGCGTCTGTGAAAATATGTAAATCCAGTCATGGAGGAGTAACTAAGACACCAGCTGACATGTAGGTCCTGTTCAACCACCAATGCAGATTATCGACTATGGTAGGAGGAAGGGTAATAAGAGCCTGCAAAGGATCCCGTGCAAGATTCCACAGGTCGTGAAGAGCACAATGAAGAGTTTGCATATGAGCATGACCTACGGAGATAAGTGCAGCCATGGAAGACCACATCCCCATAAGTGATAGAACTTTGCGAGCTGTAAGAGAGGGAGCAGTAAGAGCATGGTGAACTAAAAGCCCCACTGAAGAGGAGAAGGTTGGGCCCGACTGAGATAGGTGTTGAAAAAACACCCAAATGGATCAGATATTGGGTAGGTAGGTCAAACAAAAGTCTTCTTCAATTTGATTAACCAGTCTACTCGAGCAGCCTACAGGAGCAGCTGAAGAGTATTACAGGCAGACTCCTGTTTGGAACAAGTTAACAGTAGCCAGTTGTCTATATAATAATGAAAACACATGTAAGTATGAAGATGATCAGCAAAAGCTCGAACCACCCAAAAAAAAACATACAGGACCGAAGCAAGCCCGATGGGTAGTGCATGAAACTCATAAATCATCCCATGATGGACAAACAGAAGATATGGTTAGGACTGCCAGAGGATTGGTATATGTAAGTAAGCATTTGTGATGTACATCTTGGTCATCCATAAACCTGGAAAAAAACCAGTCTGGAATAAAAATCGGGAGAAAGATGATTCACAGGTTTGATTGGTTGTCAGGACAAAAAGTCTTGAAATGCCTCCAACAGATACTGGCTGGTAATGGGATCCTGAGACAAAGGGAAGGAAATAGGTATCTGTGAAAAAGGAGGAGGGGAAAGGAATTGTAGGACAGGTCCCTCTGAGAGAACCTGAATAACCCACTGATATGTGACGAAATACTGTTAAAGGAAAACAAAGTCGTACAATCGAGCTACTACCAGTTAATCACCAGTACTGTTGGCATCATGTTAATCTATGTCAAAGAAAATGACAAGATACGAAACTCTCGGAAAAAGGAACAGGTAAAGGTTAAGAAGAACAAGGATAGGAAACAGGAATAGGGGTTTGTCGTGATTCCAACTGCAACAAATAAGCTACCAAAGACGAAAAGGTAAACTGTTGACACAGGGGTTCCATATGTGATTCCAAAATGTTGGGGATATAGTCGAAAATACACTGCATAAGAAAAGGAGCTACAGGTAATTCCTTAAGATAAGTGGTTGGCAAACAAACAAGTGACAAGGCTGCATCTTGGCCCAGTAGATCCCAACAACAGAAAAACCATGTGTGTAAGGCAAGAGCCGAGGATGTCAAACTAGCAAACATGGAAGTAATAAGGGAGAGGCTGTCCCTCGAAAAAACCACGGGATTTCGGTGTAGAGCCTCTGAAAGAGATGTATGGTACATAAATACTGTAGAAGGGAAATAATGGAAAGATGAAGGCGTGAAAACTGGGCATGGGTTAAATGCACTGGAAAATCAGGGAGTGCCCCCCAAACTGGCAAAATAGACTCCAATAACTGAGAGTTTAAAAATGGACAGTCTGGGGCATAGGAAGACACAGTAAATTACGGTGGTGGGCAAAGGCTATCAAAATCTTCATCAATACAAACAGGTTCAGATTGTTCATGAGGAAGTGGAGCAACTTTAGGAGAAAGTGGTTGACCCAAATAACAATCAATCTCTTGGCAAAAAAGCACAGATAAATTCATCGACAGGTTGCCACCACCCACAGACGGTGAAAAAGTGCTTGTAGTGGGTGTGAGACCCAAAGTGGTCACGTTAATCTTGGAATTCACAATAAATAATAATAAATCAAATAAATTGTTTGATAGATAAAGACAAACATGCCAAAAAAACAAAAACAAATAAAGACTAGAAAGTAAATTGAAAATAAAGGCAGCAGCTGTATAATCAAAAACAATTAAGAAACCAGTTTGGAAATATAACTAGTAAAGTTACAACAACGAAGCCCATGAGGGCAAAATGTGAAAAGTCCAAACATGAGCACTGCCAAATGAGAAGTGAGAATCTGGTAGTATTGAATAGAGGGAGTCACATGCATAACAAAAATGTATTGCACTCTCATTGGTTAAGGGTTGTTGCATGATGATTTGCATGATAGGCACATTGGAGTGAGTAATTTCCAATGGAGGGGAGGCAAAAGGCTTTTGGAATGAGTTAAAAAATTTTTGCATAAAGAGGACAGCACTGAATGAGAACAGCTCCAGATTGAAAACTGCAAAAACAGTATAAAATATAACAAAATTAGTATTTGAAGAAACAATATATATATTGTAGTAGTTAAGTTGTAGTTCATTAACATAAAAACTAAAAGTAAGTTTTATTTCAACTTATGAAGCTTCATTGTATTTGTGACATTTCAAACCAAGAGTATTTGTTACTGCATGTACGATTGATAATAGCAAAACACTCTCTTACTCATTTATTCCCTACTATAAGTGAAAATAATGAAGTATAACTTTGTGAAGTTACTTTTATCCAGAACATCAGATAAAGATTTAGAATTTATTAATGATACAATGCTGAATTATATGATTAAAGAGCACATACTCTTGCACAGGTTTGAACTATATTTGCATTTAAAATTTTAAATATATATATATATACACACACATTTTTTGACTTGCACTTATACTATTTTAATATTTTTCATTTACTATTATAAATGCAATAAGAACATCACATTCTTGAGGAATAATTTCACATACTTTAGGTATAACTAACAGTCCTAAAAACAAGATAGCTCAATGAAAAAACATAAAACTATAAACAAGTCTGTATTTGAACTTTAATATAGTAGTAAAGAGTGTAAGATTTAGTTGATGTTATTAAAATTATAAATGACATAACATGAATATTCACTAAAATTGACTAAATTATACACATTTGACGTTTACAAAAAAAAAAAAAAAGGACACAATAAAATAAAATTTTTCAAAAGTCCTGTAAACCCATGCACAATTAGGACTATGATAACTTTATTTCAAAAACGTCAATCTGGTAAAACATGAAGATTTATTCTTTAACAAGCATGTCTTGATAGTTCAAGGGTATGACTACATGTTAAAAAACTCAGTATGCAAAATGTACCTATTCTGATAAATTATTTTAACATACAACATGAAAATGTTTTTCTGTATTGGTCTATGAGATAGAACGAATATCTATATTTAGCATGTCTGTAAAAAGTATTATTAAATGATTATCTAATATCTGATTTTTTTTACTTTTCAAAACGTTTAATAAATCTAAGTATTTAATTTAAGTATTTAATTTACACTGGTAGTTACAAGTCACAGTGCTCTTTACTGTGAGTAAAACATGAAGATTCATTCTGCAATGAATACAAACACTCTCACATAAAAAAAAGCCATATTTCTTAAGGAACTAGTTCCTTTTTTTAAAGCAACTCTTTGAGGTAAAACGTATACTGGATGAAGTCTAATTACAGGTTGCTTAATTTAAAAGAAAAAATGTAAGGATCATGAAACTAAATAATGAGAGTTTATTTATTGTGAAGTAATTCAACCTTCACATTCAGCAAGAACAATAATGCTTTTTCAAATGTAAGTGAAGCTTTATATGCACAAACTTAAAAATATTCCATGTTGATATTTAAATGTAATAGTCATAGTTTAATGTTTGTATGTACAGTTGGCACAGACTGCAGTTAAAAAAAAATAATTTGCAATAATTCTGAATTGCTCAAAATAATGCCAAATAGAACTAAGCATAAGAGGCTAAATACCTGTGACCAAGAAAAACAAATTCTACCACAAGAGATGGTCAACAAGACATAACTTGCATAAACCATGTTTTAATTAAGTATTTCTGCAAACTAATATTTTGCATGTGTAGATCAACAGTATAATATATTACTAGGATCTACATGAATCTGGTGTTATAACTTAAAAAGGTATATTATTATTAAAAATAAATAAAGGATAAATTGGGCTCCTCTAATACTTAAACATCTAATTGTACTCTTTTGCTCAGTAAACAGAATTGGTTGGTTCTAAAAAATAAAAGTCAAGATGAGGCTCTCTCTCCATTAGAGCCACAAACTAACTTAAAATGTACCATATTACTGTTTGTCTGAGAACACAAAAACTCTAATCTCTGTGTTAGATTAAATGTTTTAATCTTTACAACACCATCTTACCATGTTAGATCTTTTTTTTTTTAATGAGAAAGTAAAATCAGGCAAGGTTATGTAACTATAATTTCAGTAACTTTAACTGATATTTTAAATTTAATAATAAAAAGTAGATTTTAATAAGAGAGAATCCTCAACAACCACAGCACTTGAAATTCTTTTAGGTAGGATTAGAGTAAATTAATCTATGAGACCTTGGGTGTGACCAAATGCATCAATCAAAAGAGTTTTACATCCTGAGTGCAAAACTGTAATTAAATCTCAAATTAGTCATAAGATGGAGATATGAGCTAAAAGGCTGTATTTGAAAAAAAATAAAAAACTCGGAGCCATTCTATGAGCTGCTATGTCGCGGCTAAAATAACATACTATACTGTTGAGCTCTGGAAAAATGAAGAAGATGACCTAAATTTACTTTGAAATGGACATTCTGACATTAAATTGGAACATAGTACCATTGGATGACATCTTAAAAATACAGATAAAATGCAACTTGTATGTAGTTTAGGTGTTTTCTTAAAAATTATTCTGCTGGTTTCCACTAAATTTATGGTTTTGGTACCTATATTTTTAGGACTAGAAGCCAAAGGCTTCTAAATGAAAAAGGAAATATAGAATGCTTGGTATAGAAAGAAGTAAAATTTCTTTATCACCTGCTAACTTTCATTCTTACCAAGTGACTAAAGACAACAAAAAATTACCTCTCCACAATCTTCTCAATCCAGATCCTACTTCCTGTTGAGTTGTTGTAAATGGCAAGAAGTCTTTGTTCAATTTTAAGGAAAAATATATATATATATGTCAAATATACATCTATTAGAACTAATTTTTTCAATAAGAAGGCTTGAAATGTTAATCGATATTTAAGTTATTGTATCAGCTTATAGCTGATTCAAGTAGTACTCTATATTCTCTTCCCAAATTATTTGTCAAGAGTGTCAGATTTTATGAGCTTTACAGTCCAGCATATGCTTGAGAGAGCAAATAGAAAAAAATCTCTGTCTTACCTATCAACTGCCATTTCTTTGATCAGTTCATCAGGAAAATCGGCTACAATTCCAATATCTGTGATAGTATGGCTAAATGCTGATCTTGCTTTAGTTAACTTTTCCCTTGGATTGAACAAAACATTCTACTCAGTATATGTCTCTTAAATGTAGTTATCATTTTACACTTGAACAAGAATGAAAACAAGAATAATCATTTGACTACATTATGTATATATATATATCCATTTTTTCTAAACCTATCAAATAAAAATAACATAGCCTGAAATTTTATGTGACACAGATTTAAACATTTATTTGCAATCCTCAGACATTATGATGATACTTAGGCAGTTAATAATGTTTGAAAAATAATGAAACAAAACAGCAGTTACTTCCACATGCGTGTTTGATACACATAAATAACCTTAGCATAATGTTCAATTTTAATAATTCCAAAAAATTCACTGAAATTACATTAAAAAGTACTACAGGTAATAATACATTTTAATATATTTCAAGTTTATTTACTTTTTGAAAGTTCATTTGTCACTTGTATCAGTCCTAAAGTTAATCCAATACACTATAACTAACAAACAATATTAAACATGCTAAAGAAGTCAATTATTCATCAAACTACATTATTTCAAGCTTCAAATTGCTGTTGCAAGTATTTTAATTTTATTTTCACCCATTAGATATACAAAATAAAATAATTAACCATACAGTTATGCAGAATAAGTATCAAGAGCAACTGAAAGAAAGAAGGTTTATTTTTACAAAGTTAACCTTTTCTTTACCTGAAAATGTATTTCCAATAGATACTAACCTTTTCACACAGTTAAGCTATCTTTCCTGAGTGTCTGCCTTAGAGATTTAAATGTTACTAGCCATGAGGCAACTCCCACCTAATCTCAAGTGAATTGTGCTACTGCATGATGAAGTAAACCTGCAGCAAAGCCTATTAGTGGATGACAAACTTCCAAGTGTGCAGTTGCACTCGTGAATCTTCAAGCTTTAATGAGGCAAGTAAGAAAATGTGCATCAGAAGTGGGTAGGATAGGAGGGAATGTGTGCGAAGAGGTGAGTATCTATTGGTAATACATTTTCAGGTGAGGACTGAATGTTAACTTACAATGCCACATGCCTGCAAACAGTTAACCTTGAACCACATGTTGAAGTGGTGGAGGGAGCATTGCAAAGATTTACGTAGATGAGCTCCCTTCAGAAAGCACCACATGGAAGCTCATGGAGTGTGACACCTGAAAAGGAGACATTTGCATGAAGAGGGCACATGTGTAAAGAATGTACTCATCTCAACTCTACTGAAAAGATAAGACCACAGGAAAAGGGTACGGAATAGTGGTGTGTGCTTGCCTGAAGTCCAGTGGACAATCACAGGCTGCACGAGGAGGGCATACTATCATATTATGTTTTCACCTCAACTCAACTGAACAGACTCAGGTCACAGGAGGAGGTGACAAGTGGCATGTGGTACAGCTATATGAGAGGTGACCTGTGCTACACTGACAGTGTCACCACTACCCCACTCTATTGGCACTCCTTGTTATAACCTCAGCAGTTAGGTCCCATTATGGTCCACTACTCCAGTGGCTAGGAACTGGTATGTGGCAAGGGTTCCCCTGCTCCATTTGAAAAAGGGGGAGAGAATTCACAGTGGAGAGACCTAGAGAAGAGCCCAGATCCCCATAAAATGCCTATTGGAGAGGCATATTTTGAAAAACCAGCAAGTGCGAGCCAGGGAAGTGGGCAAAACACCCTCTGGTGCTAGCTTTTCCATGATAGTCCATGGAATAGGTACAGTCTGTATCAGACAAAAATTAAATATATAGATATTCCACAAGGATAACAAATGTGGTCTTGCGGAATAACCCATCTCACAGGAGGAATATGTGGAGCCAGGACAGAAGGTATGAGTACTTTCTGTTATCCTGGCTGATACAGATTTTGGGAATTAAGTTATATCTTGGGGGACACCACCAACCATCTGGCAGGATCTTAGGAATGCAATAAGAGGCTCTGAAAGAAAAGTAGTATGTATTCTTCTCAAAGATGGTGAGATGATAGAAAAATGTCAACCTGCAGAAGCCAACAACCATCAAGAGATAAAACAGTCAGAAGGTGTAGATGAGATAAATATGTGGAGAATGTCCACATGTCTATCTGAAAGAGCTTGTCCTAGGGCTAGCAAAGAAGAGATGTAAGAGAAGGAGAAAGGCAATAAATCAAATACGAAAAAATGTAAGTCTGCGAGCATCCTCTACTAAAAAAAAACATGTCATCTGGAGGAGGTAATGGATACCACCAGCAAGGGGAGAAGAAAAGGGGTTCATGAATAGGCACACTGAACAGATCAACATGTCATAGGAATTAATTAGAGTCTGAATGGTCCAATAAGCAAGAAACAGAAGGAAGTACAAGCCAAATCCTGAGCAGCTAAAGATTGAGGAAGAAAAGACCAGACCAGAGAAGAAGCAACCATAGGAGAGACATCCAAACAGTAGGTGAGAAGGAGGAGGAAACAAACCAAGCTAATGATACAGTACAAAAGTTAGGAAGCCATGGGCTCAAATGGGGCATGCATCAGAGCTTTTAAACCCCATTAAGGACATAGTCAGTCATGAGAGTAGTGGAGGATAGGGGAATAAACTCTTCATGGTACCTGGAAAGAAGATAGTTCATGGACAAGCCCCTGACAATTAGTGGAGGTAAAGACTGACAAACTAATGACAAACAGTCAAGGGAAAAAGGTAGAAAGATTGATGACAAAAGACCTACCACAGTTGCTGATAGAAAAAGGCAGTGGAAGGATGACAAAAAGAGCAATACAAAAAGCAGAATATCCAGCCTGACAGGTTGGACAAGTTCCACATGCAAGGAGAAAGGAAGATAGCTCTTGATGAAGGGATGTATGAGTGTGAAGCAGGAGAGAAGAAATTGAGGAAAGGAAGCGGACAAGCTGAGCTGGGCAAAGAGGCACCAGTAATAAGATTTGAGAAGAAAAGTGGTGTGTGAAGATCAGAGCCAGAGAAAGTAGATAAATAAGTGAAGTGAGCATACAGAAAAGGACAGACCAGGAAAGACTGATAAAACAGACAGACAGAGCCAAAGGATGAGGAATAGTGACCCTTAAGAGAAGAAGTCCAGAGTTGTGAAAGGTGGTAAGTGTATCCAAGAAGGACATGACCAACCAAGAGCAAACCCCACAAAAGACCTGGGGTGTGGAAACCACTCCATCATTAAAATGCAAATTGGCTGAGAGAGGTGGTCTGCCATTAAGATATAAGCTCATGGTAAAAGATAGGCAAAGAGATCAAACATACATTAACAATGCAAATCTCATTCAACTGAACACATCTCATGAATATAATGCCAAGGAGAAGAATGAAGATTTGCAAGTGCAGATGCATAGAGGGAGTTGTGTGAATAGATGTGCTTTCATCTTAAAAAACACAATAATTATCAGTGATGTAATTTAATTGAAACTCTATGCTAAGGATGGCAGTAATTGTAATTCATACATAACAAGACTATATAAGATAATTTTTATGTATCATTTAAGAATGCTCAATGATTCTTAGAAAAAATGCCATTTCTAATATTATGGTGAAGAAGTTTAGATTCACTATTAACACAGTTTTTTCAACACAACAATAAAAATATTTTTCTATCAGTTCCTGTTGAGTTAAATGCATCAAATTACATTTAGATTAATTACATGAAATATTTGCTTTCATTGTGAACAAAGTGCTATTATTAATTTAAAAATCATTAAAAATATTGTATTACAGTCCACACTTATGAAAGACAGTAGAACAAATGACAAAACAATAATATTATATGCTGCAATGACCTGCAAAATATTTGAGGTATTTCTCGTGCCTTTTGCTTGAATTTTCTATATTCTATCATTTTCACACATGCCATTTAAGATACACTTTCTTGTAATCATTATGTGTTAGATCGATAAATCCTGGACTATTTGAAAACATTTTATGCAGTCAGACAAACTCATGTAGAAGACGTAACTATATTTATCAAAACCATATATAAAGTAAACAATAAAGTAATGGTACTTATAATAGTGTACACAGTATGAAACAGTTATGAGGGTTCAGTGTATGACACAGTTTTACAAGTTGAGGATATTATACACGGAAGTGTTGTTTGTGTGAAATACTTTGCAAATGAAAAATAAAGTTTAAATCGAAGCCAGTTGTCATGTGATGACAACAACATTGTGCCACTGTATAAAAAATTTGACTAAGCAAAAAAAAAGATAAAGTGATTTTAAATGGAAAAGCCAATATGCAATCTGGACTCATTGGACAAAGTTCTGGACAGACAAACAAATTGTATTATTTATATAGATTAACTACAAAAATACATTTTTTTAAACACAATTTCTCCATTACTTATTCTGTTAGAATTATAATGAGAACTGAAGTAAAACTGGTACTTGTGTTATGTAAGATTGCTCAAAACATTATTGAGAAAAAAATAACCTCACCTATACTGGTTCTTGTACTTTGCTAAGTTGACCAATGTGTTATTAAAATGTTTTTGTTCATAGCCCCATAGTTCAATACCATCCAGTCGAGACTCAAGTAAACATTTGTCAATAACTCTTTGCTGTACTTCTGATAACTTATCTCTATCAGCATTAATTTCCTAAACAAAACAGAAAACAACAATTACATTTTGTGGTAAATACAATAATAATAAAAAATAAAAACAAAAAAATGCATTCTTCACTTTTTATGAAAATTTATTCTGCTTTAAAGAAAATACAATTAACACTTAAGTTTTGCAGTACACAGTTTAAACATTCTTTCTTATTTATGTTAAAGTTCATAACACTTCATATGATACCTATTATAATATCACAATGCCATTGAATTGGAAATTATAAACTCTGAGGTTTAGAAATATGCTTTCTTTCTTTTTTTTACAATGGAAAAGAATCAAAAGGTAACTTTCAATTATACTTCACAAGACAAAAGTACAATACCTTCAAAACATCTAGCATAAACAAGGAAAATACAAATTTGTAGCATGCTATAGAGTATTATTCTCACAAGACAATGGTACAACACGATCAAAAACAAGGAATATAGAGATAATTAGGATGCTATAGAGTGTTATTCTCACAAGGCACCATCAAAAACAAGGAATATACAGATAATTAGCATGCTATAGAGTGTCATTCTCACAAGGCAATGTCACAATACTGTCAAAACTCCAAGTGAAAACAAGAAAAATACAAATAATTAGCATGCTACAGAGTGTTATTTTCACAATGCAATGGTATAATACCATCAAAACTTCTAGTGAAAACAAATAAAATACTTAAATAGGAACTTATATATATATATATTTAAAGTTTCTGAGCTACTTTGTGTCATCTTTTGTGAAAAATTCAAATGCTTTATGTCAGAAACATTCATAGTATTTTTTAATCTTTACAAAGTTAACAAATGCAATAGATATTGTTTAAAAATTTGAGTCATATGAAGACAGCATTTATTTGTCCACTGTTTTGAATATAAAATTTTTCAGTCTATTTTTAAGAATATAAACTAATTATTTTATAGTTTAGATTATTGATAACATTTTGGATAATAGTAAAACAACTGAGTTATAAGAATAGCTTCTTATTTGAACTAAAAGGACAGAATAAGTGTACCACATAATTACAAACAAATGGGGAAAAGATATACATGACAAATTGTGTTAATCAGGAAACACAGTAATGTTGTACGCCCAAAACAACCTACAGGACATACTGTGTGTTATTAACAGAAGTGATAGTTTAGCAATTTTTCACTTTCTGTAGCTCGGACTGTGGTAATCAAATCTATCACATATTTTCAGTGGATGTGTACTGGACCTTTACTTCACATACTATTTTTCCAGGCAATCCATTAAGAAATACATGAGATATAAAATCTCCAATTTTGACTGAATTTCTTCCTTCTTTTTTTTTCTTCCCACCGAAAGTACGGAAATTTTATTTGATATAAAAACATACTTAAATTTCATGGATTTTTTCAAATTTGGTATACTGAAAGATCTTTATAACCTACAATTAGATGTCAAATTTGGTCTGAATATAAGCCATATGTGTAAAGTTATTCAATAAAAACTACTCAATTTCGACCAAAATTTTTGCCCATGCCATGCAAAAAGTCACATGAACTATCAGTCTGAAATGTTTACTACAGTTTCACCTAAGAGTAAAGATGAACTGTTTTTGGTTTTTTGTCATTCAGATTAAAGATGGCTGATTTAGAGCAGCAAAACTATAGGGTGAAAGCATGTGCAGATACATAAATATTGGTTAGGCTAAACAAATTAGATTAGCAGTTTCTAGCTCAAGTTTTCAAAAGAATCATACAGATGGACAATTATTATTAATTATTCATTGCCAACTTTTAAGCACAAATTTGCTATGCTAAATTTTATTAAATTCTCCTAATTAAAGAGCATTCAGCATCACATGATATTAGCTTAAGCAATTAGTGTAAATAATGCTTGATATGGCTGTACCAAGTGCATGCGAGTGATGACAAAAAACTGTTAATCTAGTTTCCATGGCATTAGTATAAATGAAGTTATTAACACAGTTTTAGAGAGGAAAAACTACCACCATATATTTTAAAGAATATAGTTGGTTCTGTAAAGTACAGGTCTGTTCCAAATAATAGGGTTGCAATCCTAAAGCTAATGTTGGTTATTATCAAGTGTCACTTCCTTACTTTCTGTGGTATGTTGGTGTGTATTGACATAAAGTCATGATATCTAATCAAAAACACCTTAGGTGTGAAAAAAGGTGCAGCCAAAAAGGATTGAGGTGCAACTTAAGGGAATGAAATAAACATTGGCGGCCAAACTGGTAATGACACTTATAACATTGATAAAAATTTTACAGCAAATATTCATTCATTAGTTAGTTAGGCCACATATTTTGTTTTATGCATTTTCATGCTCCAAGTCACATGTTCAGTCCTTTTTGGCCCCACTTTTTTTTTGTCACACCTAAGGTGTTTTTGATTAGATGGTATTTGCAGGAATAAACTTTTCATAAAAATTAGGCCTTTTCATTCTCAATTGCAAAATGCTTATTTAGTTAGTTTTTTCCAGGTTAAGGTAAAAACAATTTTTTTGAATGCAAGTTTTATGATCTTTTTACATAAAACCTCAAGCATTTTCAAATTTTGTTTAAAGAATAATATAAAATATTCATTACTCACATATAAATCTAAGCTTATATTTAAAAATATATTTAAAAGCTTATATATAAAAACTCATTCACCTTCATTGCATGAAAAATTGGCTGACTATGGAAACGCTGAGTTTTGGCCTTCTGAACACGAGGATGAAGCTGGAAATAAATAAATACAAAATCAGTTTTAAGGCGATATATAATTTCCTTCAACTTTGCACATTACTGATTTTTTGTATTTATAAAATAATAACAGGTTATCTACAACTCACACTTTACAATGTCACATTTAAAGACATAAAAAGTTATCATTTACCACATTTCTGTGGGAAAAAAAACATAACCATTAGTATACACATATAAATTTACAACAGTTGCCAACTCAATGAAATCAAAATGAAAACAGTAAATGAAGGTGTGTGTATGTGTGTGTGTGTGGGGGGGGGGGCATCAGCCATTCCACTGATGGTTATTCTATACACTTGTTCCAAATATTCTCTCTATAGGACTGAATAACCTGCAGTTTTAAGATTTTTAGATGCTTGACCTTTAAAAAGTTATTTATTTGTCAATCTCACAGGCTTAAAAATAATATTATTTTCACAATATTTTTCACGTATGTCAGTCCTACAAGTCCGTCAAAGGTTTACCATTTAAAGTTTTATTTTATGTTGGTGTTTTATAATCAAGATCAGTTTTTTTGTATGTTAAAAATAAGTAAAGAATGTTAAGGTTTGTATACAGGCTCAACCATTCAACCTCAAGTTATAAAATTCTGATTCAAGTTATAACAGTGAAAGTATTTCATAAATATGAAATGTAGTAAGTTCTCTCTCTTCAATTTTTGTTTCAACACAGTGATTGTTTAATTTTAATTTGATTCTATGATCTTCTAAATAACTTGAAAGACCATAAAATAAAAGTAGAACTTTTGACAATATATATATCTACACAATATTTGAGATTATGTTAAGAAAGCTGTAGGAAAAAGTTTCAAGTAATGTCTGCATATATGTACATGTATATAAATATACTGCTGTACAATATAGCATTAATACCAAGTATTTAAGTATTACAAAGAATTGAAATCACAATGCCCTGAAAAGGAAACTGCAAAATGGCAAACTATTGATACAAAGTATCCAAAGTAATACAACACGGGTGCTATAAAGAAGCCCATGCCATTTAGTAGTACATTTCTATACAGATTTGTTTCTTAAGTGAATAACCTGCTAAATGTTAATAAAATGAGCTGAATTATACTTTTATAAGATTGAAAACATGAGATGTACAAGATCACATGGATGGCATCTGAACATCATATCTTTTGTTACTAGTTTTAAAATATTGTGGCAGTGTACAATATACAAAAACCAGCTTTAAGTAACACTAACACTCATCGGACTTTTTGTTATATCACATAACCTATCTTAGCTATTGACAGCTATTGTGAAAGCTTATTACAACTGTTGAAATCTGCTCTTACTACTTGAATGCCTCTACTGAAATCAGATGACTAGTGGAATGTGCTAACTGATTAATCGTTGGGCTCATTAATTGATTACTTCCAAATAATTGATTATTTGCATATGAGAATAATCTTCCTACTTTCAGCTTTGTTTTAAACATTACCCTTCATTTAATATGATAGACATCTCCAGGTATGTTTGTAGCTTGTAATAAGTAAGCAAACGGTTAACGTAAAGCTTCACTATTGGTTAGTCCAAACAAGGTAAATGTGAACAACAGACAATACTGTGGCTAGTTATGTAACCAATGGTCAGTGAGTGGGTCACACCCTCACTTTCATGAGTTTTGTACATACTGTCGCACATAGTTGCATCAATGAAAGCAGTCATGCCATGTGTGATTTTGGTTGGTATGTATATGAAACTGAACAAGTTTGAGTTATGGAAAAGCTACTAAACCTATTTAAGGAATTATAATGTGATAGTCAATCCTATTTATTGGTAAGTAGTAGCCCAATAATTGGCAGTGGGTGTTTCTGGCCGATTGCCTTCTCTCTGATTGGAAATTCAAAATTAAGGACTATGGCATATGGTCTCAGCAGCTTTGCCAAAAATTAAAAATAAAGAAACAAATATAATTTTTCTACAGCCGTAAGGGCAAGCATGGTTAGTGGCAATAGAATTCAATGTGCAAGTCAAATCACAAGGCAAACATACTAATCATCAGGAAGCTGAACAAATTTGAGTTAATTGAAAAATTATAATGACAATATTATGATTACTTGAATAGTTGGAATAATTGAAAACAGTTATAATTGGAAACATTATTTTTGTGATATTAATTGATTTAATTGTAATTTCAATTTAATTTTTGTGACAATAACAGATGTAAATGATGCACAGCTTTACTTTTTTACTCTACTTTACTGCAGTCAAATACATCTTTCAAGTGATTAATATTAACAGATTAATAGTCCATTAGAACGTTACAACAACAAAATCATATTCATGTTGATTGCCTAACAAGCTAAAAACACACAATATATATATTTCATCAAGTGTGGTACCTTCTTATAAGCTCTAGTGATCTGTTCATTTTGGGTTACAATACATAAGTTCTTCATTGTGCTCCAAGCGTAGTCCAAGGGGTTAGTTAACTTCTCAAGGGGTTCAATGACTGTGGTAAAATTCTTCTGCTGTCCGCCATCTTCAGTTTGAATAAACGACAAAAACAATTCACATTTAGTGAAGAAAAATGTTATGCTAATGTTGACTTATCTGTTTATAAGAACTTGTAATACATATGTGTACATATTTTGCCTGGGGCTCAAATATCATGCATCATGGAGCCAAAATATCAATAAGACAGATAATCATGACAGAATCAGTGTAATAAAATTTCTTGAACTACCAACTTGTTGCTTTGATGTGGAGTCTGATTTTTTTAGATGAGGATGTCCAGTTTACTGTTAATAAGGTGCTGTAGAAGAGAACTTTCAATTTTTAACCTGAAAGCACCTTATGCATAAGTGGGCTAAATGGCCAGAACAGAGATACCTAGGGTTCAGATATAGCTGTCCCTAATTTTGAACTACTAACTAGAAGGAAGGCAACCAGCCAAGCAGCACAACTTCCACACGAGTTTGTCACTTTTATAACATACCAACAGCTGAAATTGTGAAGTGTTTTTAGAGGCACCATATCTCAAACTTTCTGACACTTTTACTTGCAGGCCAACATGCTAACCACTAGGCCATGCACAGTTTGCCATAGATGACATTAAATAAAATAGGACACAACAGAACTGACTGAAAAGTTATGAATTGGATATAAAATTTACTTAGTGGAAGGAAGCAATGAATTTTGATATATATATATATATATATACATATAAGTAGAAAAATGTGAAGGTGATATTAGACTTTTGGAAATAAATCAACTTATAAAACTAGAGTTGTGATTTATTTTATTGGCAACATTTTGAGCTAATTGCTTTTTTTCAAGCCAGAAACCACCTTGTTAATTAATGTCAACTACAGGAACATTTTAAAATGAAACAATACATGAAAACAGAATGTAATGCAAGATAGAACCATCAGAATGAAACAATATAATAAGGCTGCTGATTAAAAAAAGTAATAAAAACTACTGAGTTTAAGGAAGTCATAGCTGTAGATGGTTCTTTTGTAAGGCATCTGGATAGAAGAGTCTATAAGATAAATTTGGAGAAAAGAGTAAGATTATGCCATTCAGGGACCAGGTGAAGATCACAACTGATAGAGTAAGTGATATAGTAAAGGGTGCTAGGCTAGCAGCAATGCAATTTTTGTTGTGCACATAGGAGCAAATGATGTATGGAAGGGTAGATCAGAAGAACAGAAAAGTACAAAAGGATGATAAAAGCATTTAATTCTGTCAGGTGACTTCTGCTGTGACTTAACTATGGGGATAAGATTCTAAGTAGGTCACTAGAGCTGAATACTAGGCTTAGGTTAGTATGTAAGGACAAGATGATTGGTTGGTTGGACTTGTGGGATCAGACTGATGATAAAAGGAGGCTTTATGGAGTGGGTGGTTTATATTTAAATAGTGTATGAGCTGGCTTAATTTCAAAGGCTATCAACTCAGTTGTAAGTGTAGCTTTAACTAAGGCTAACCACTGGTAAAGGCCAGGAGAAACTTAATACAAAAAAATAAGATACAAGGAAAGGCATAGTGTAGGAACAAAGTACAGTAACACTGGAAGTATTAACAATCAAATATATAACTTTAAGGCATTTATGGAATAGAGGATTTTGATATTATGGGAATAACTAAAACACAAGGTTATTGGTTGTTCAATAGGGATAAATAACTAAAGAAGGAGTGGGGTGAGTGGTTTTATATGTAAAGTGTGAGGTAGTTGAAGCCGAATATATTAGAGAGAAGAGAAAAAAGGTTGAATCTATTTGGGTTTTTGTTAATGAATATAAGAGCAGAAGACTTTTAGATGGAATTTGTTACAAACCAACAGATGAGACTGGTGAAATTAATGAGAAACTTTACAGTGTGATTAAGATTACAGCTGTTAACAAAGTTATAATTATGAAGTACATTAATTTCAGTATATAAATTAGAAGATTTTAAGAGTCAAACCATGAGGGGGAAAGGTTTTAAAAAAACATTCAGGATAGTTTTCTTCATCAATTGGTCAAGGAATCTACTAGGAACAAAGGTATTTTAAATTTATTGTTAACTTCTAATCCAGAAATGGTTGAAAGGGTGGATATTGGAGAAGATCTGGGTGTAAGTGAAATGTTCTAAGGGATATGATAAAAATTGTTCAGGTAATTATAAGTGTATTAGTCTTATATGATGATAAACATTGTCCAGATAATTATAAATGTATTAGTCTTACATAAATGGTGGGAAAAGCTTTGAAACTTCAATTAGATACTTTCCAAAGTTACTAAAAAGTTTCACTAAAAGAAAATCTTGCCTTGCATGTGTGTGTGTGTGTGTTTGTTGGGTGTCCTGAGGAACAATGCTCTGGAAACAGTGCAATAGGTGAACCAGGTTCCCTAACTTTTTAATAGCAAACCAATCCAATGATTGGCAGGATCTCTTATGCTTTACCCATGATAGTCCAGCATAGTACAGTAATACCACCTGGTCTGCCTCTGGGTGGTCTTATGGAACACTTCAGCTCTACTGAACCTGTTGCAACCTAGTGAAGCAACTTGAAAATTTGAGGAAATTTTACAAGTGCTTCAGAGTTTTATTAGTTGAAAATACACAGAATAGGAACTTAAAGGTTTTTAGTATAAACAAGTAGTCAAGGATATATAAAAAAATAGGCGACAAGGAGACGCCTGTGTTACGAAATAAGCTTGTGAGATGAGCTCGAGAATTAGTCATGTAAGGAGTGTTGCCTAGAAACCAGCAACAAGACACGTGTATTACGAAATAAGCTCGTGAAGCGAGTTTGGGAACCAGTAACCAAGGTCAGTGGCATAGTTAGTAAGAAACGTTGCCTAGAAACAAGATGAATACACAATTACTTATGACAAGTTGAAGAATTACTGACCTCAACCTCTTAGAACTAAGAAAGCTACAGAAAAGTTTGGTTTGGTGAATCATATCGGCATTAGTATTAGTATTAGTTACAGCACATGGGTGTAGCAGTACAAGTGAATGGGCAGCCCGCTAATACCACTTATCTGTAACCAATTACTTGAGAGTTCTGGTTACGGTTCTGGTTTAGCCTGGGATTTTCCCTAAAGTATCCAATAGGAGCACAGGGCTACTTGTGGGTGATGCTGTGTCCTATTTAGTGGGTCGAAATAATACAGAGAAAAGATAGTTTAAAAACTCATGTCAGAGGCTGAAAAGTTAAGTTCTCCAGGACTGAAGAGAAGCTCTCCAGTATTCGCAAAGTTCTCTGGGACTGAGAAGAAGTATTCTGAGTATCCAGAAGTTCTCCAGTCTGAAGAGATGACAAATGTGGTTAAGACTTCTAACAACCCAACTCTACTGTAAGTATAATCTTTCTCTCTTAATCAGCTAGTGTAGAAGTCATAGAAGATAATAAATGTATCTAGATAAAAGTGTTTAATACGATATATAAGTAGTAACTCGATAGAACTGATGTTTAAAGTGTGTAATGATTTGGAGAAGTTGTTAAATGTTAAATAAACGTTATTTTAAGTGTTCACCATTGGCCTGAGACTCTATTTTTTTTAGTCTAACCGTAAACTTCCTCGACTTAGTGACTTGTGACTCCACTCGTCACGACAAATCCTCCAATAAATAAATTTGGTGCAACGAGTAGTTTTAATTGAAACTCCAACAATTAAGCCCACCAGGGTGCTACTCATTACACTGGTTAAAGTATATTGTGTTAATGGTTGCTAGTATGGATTTGGTTTGATAAAAGCACACCTGCCTGGGCAACACTAGCCACAGAGTGGGATTCTGTGAAAAAAAGGTAAGGGATCCTGAAAAGTAAAGAAGAGACAATATTAGTAATGAAGATACACACACCTCCTTATAATGTAATAGATATGATTAAGATAGCTATAGGGGGTAGTTGAAAGCCTCAGAGGAAGCTACTGCCAGATCATTGAAATGATGTGAGATAAAAGTATTGGAACAGGTCCACATACCAGACTGTACAATGTCCTCCAGTGGGCAAGTCAACCGTGCTGCTAAGGGCATAGAAATGTGATGAATCTGATGAGAAATGACTCCCAAAAGTCTCCTCACCACCAAAGAGAGCCCAGACTTATGCAATATAAATCAATTTTCATACCAACCTCGACAAAGTAACCAGGGATAAATTCTGAAGGATCCCAATGAATAAAAAGTTGTTGTCTAGCACCTCCAAAGGCGTTAGTGCGGACAACATAACACTTCAAGGCCCTCACTGGACATAACAAACCATCGAGATCTGATTGGTCATAGAGATGAGAAATAGCAGTCAGACAAATCAGTGAAAAAGATTTATCCCCTTCTCTGGCTGCCAGTGTTGTAGGTAAGAAGGACCTGTCTGGGTATAGGAGGATGTAGGTAGAATGTTCTGTGCACATGTAGTGAAAACAATTCCAACCGGCAACATCTGCAGGTCAGCAGCAACAAAAAATAAACCTTAAGGGAAAGGTGATACATGGTATATGATGCTAATTACTCAAATGGACGTTGAGAAAGAGCATGTAATACCACCGTAATATTGGAACTGTCATTTGGGAAGAAGGACCCAAAACAACTTAAGGAGGCTGGAGAGCATTGGGGACTCAAATAATTTTCATCTAGAGTATCTAAAGATAATCGATAAGACAGCCTTACATAAGGTGACTGTGGAAGATGCAAAACCTTTTCAAAGAGCCAGGTCAAAAAACAAGTTATGATTAGCACTTCTCGAGGAAGTGGGTTCAACCTAATCGCAATACACCAATGTCCATATGAGTGCCATCTCTGTTGATAAATGTCCATCAAGAGACTATATAAAGACTGAAACAGATACATGGCAACCTTAGAAGTTAAACCTCAATGCCGTGCAAAGGACCACCTAACCTCAATGCATGAAGGTTGAGCTTCGGGATGGCTGGGTATACAATGTTAGATCGTGGCTGCTGCAACAGAGATGGCCAAAGAGTAAGTGGAAGAGGTGGGCACACCTGAAGGTACCTCAGAAGTGGAAACCAGGGTTTAGCTGGCCAATCTGGTGGTATCAACAGAACTTGGAGGTGTGTGAAACACTATACAAAAGTACTACTACAGTTTTACTTTTCCAACAGGGCAGTTGTCTTTGGAATGATTTCTTTCAGGTGTAGTGGATGCAGTAAATTTAAGGCAGTTCTAAGGGAAAGTTTGATAAAGATGTAAATTGTCAGGGCTGAATTTGAGATTTTAAGTAGATGGCAACATTAATGGACCAACAGCCCCCCCCCCCCCTTTGGGCCTTTAAAAACATTATGTTTTGCAAAAAACAACAACAGGGATGTCATGCAGCTAATTTTGTGTGTGTGTGAGGGGTAAGCACAAACAGAAAACAAAGTACTTTTGTTATCAATTATGGGTTGATAATAATAATAAGACAAATAATAATTAGTAGAGTGCCTTTTTTCGTATTATTAAATATATGCTGTTACTTTTATCAATGTATTGGTTTCCAGTACAGAAAAATATTTTGAACATAGTTAATCAAGTAAATATACATGGATTTGGGATTATCAAAACAGTGTGTGAAAAGTATTTTGGGAGGGGTGGAGTGCCATCAGTGGCTTTTGGGCATGATGCTATTGTACACACAACCACAGAGATAAAGCATTGGTAAGAATAGAGCAAAGAAAACTAAACTGGGGTGTTTAAAATACAATTTTGACTAAAGATAGTAATTTGAAGAAACAATTTAAAGTCATTTCATACCTTTGAGCTGTTCTTCAAGCCTACAGATTCCCGATTCATATTCAATCACAAGTTTGCCAATAGCATTAACACACTTCTCAGGAGTAAGCTGGGAATACTTTGGCAGAGCACTTTGCCTAAGTAATGGATTTGTCTCTGGAGTTTCATCTGGTATCTCTGGAACTCTAATGCAGATTTTTATAAAGTAAGTCATGAAATATAAACAAATTTTGCAAAAAATATTAATTTTAACCACTAGTTTTTCAAAAAAATGAAACTGATATAAATGTAAATTCACAATTATAGGCTTTTTCCAAAATAGACTTTAAACAGTTTTATTACTCAACAAATATTATGATTAAACTATAATACATCCAAGTGAAACAACTGGGAATATTAAGCATTTTTATGAAATTGCTTCAGTAATTAAGTAAAAACTGAAAAGAATCTACATAATAGAAGTTTCTGGGTGTGGCACACATATGTGAATAAATGGTATAAGAGAGACCACCTACATTATGAAGTAAGGTCAAGAACTTGGTGGAAGTGCAGTTGGCTGGGATGAAGAATCAAAAGTGATAAAAAAATGAAGCCCAGCAAATCTGTGAGAATGCTTAGAAAAAAAACCAGTGAAGGATAGTCATGAGTTTAACAGTGACAAACTGATGACACCACTTCAGTAGCATAGAAAATGCTGCTAAAAATTTACATTAGAGGCAGGAGTTGGGACTTTGATGTGGGATTAATATCCAGAGCAGGCCACCGATTTACTGACTCTAACAGCAACCAATCACTAAAGAAGTTTTGTTGTATTGGAGAAGTCCTATAAATCTCAAAAATAAACCAATGAAGTGGCAGATCTAATTATGGGTAGATGCACACACTACTTGAAGACTCATAAGGATACAGAGGAAATATCATATAAAAATTAATGTTTGGAGCTGAAAGTGCTACTTGTTCTACAATCTTCCTGCAGTTCACCACCATACAAAAGAGTTCTCCAAGATTCCAAGATGTTGAAGATATCTTCTATTCAATGAAGCCAGAATATTGTCTGAACTTTGATGTAAGTTTAAATTGCTATTTCTCTTGATTGATTAATTTAGTTAAGGAGCTAAAGCAGAATATATAATGTTAACAGAAAACCTGTAGCTTGAAAGTATGTTTGGGTATAACTCGCATAGTGTTTTGATCGAAAGATTGCTAAAGATAGTAGGTAACTTAATGAAACTTGCAAAGGAACGACTTAATGAAATAGCTAAGTATCTGATGTGAGAAGTTGTATTTTTATAAGTGAAGAACTATTAAAATTGAATGTGTTTTGTGGAATCACAGTCACCAAGTCATTCTTTATTCTAACCATAAATATCCTTGAGTTAGTGACTTGTGTACTTCACTTGCGACTGTTTTTCTGGATTTTATATAAATCTATTGTGACTGATGGTAAAGTCAAACTCCAATGGCTAGCCTCCACACCTGCCTGTCACACAAACCTTACCAATTCTAATCAATGATAAAACTAATATTCTTTAAATATTTTTTATGATTGTTATACTTTTGCACTAAATGTACAACACTTTACTTAAAATACCATACAAGAGCTTTAAAATACATTTAAGTTGCATTAATTCACTCTTACATATTTTTAATTATACACACAAAAAACATCATAACATACTGCATGTAACAGCAAGGTAACAGAAAGTCATCTCTTACCCACCATAAAATTAAACAAAATTACAGGTGGCCCTTCATATATCTTCATCCAAAAATTGAAATAAACTTAGCATAACAACAAATGAAGGAAGCTTGGGATTAATTCTGATAGTAAAAAACAAGTGTTCCTACAGTAAGACAGTCCAAACAGTTGTCTGGAAAAATTGGCCAAGCTTCATAAAATTTGCATTATAACCCTTTTGGGTAGCTTTGTATTTTTATATTCTTTCTTGATTTTCCATTATTCACAAAAAATCTCAAAATATTTCCAATTAAATTCCTTAAACTGATAATTTATATGCTAAAAATAACTCAGAAGTTACAATTTTCCTATACTGAAAATGTATTTCCAATAGATATTTACCTCCACTCACATAAATAGCTATTCTCATTCTGTACTGACCTCCATATGCAAAAAAATTCTTGATGCATGCTACAATCCTTTTATCTCCCCTTAATTGGAACTGACGGATTCCAATGCATCTCTCATGCAAATCCTCATGTGACAACCCTCCACCAATAAGAGTGTAACATTCTCTCATGATGCATATGACTCCCTCTATTCACTTCTACTGAACTATCACTTTAAGTTTTGGCAGAAGATGGAAGCACTGGTTTTCAGTGGGGAGGAAGGGTGGTAAGTGTCAGGAGGTAAGTAACTATGGGAAATACTTTTTCAGTATAGGAAAATTATAATTTCTGATACATTATTTCCTTCACTCACATAAGTAGCTAGAATCCCACATTGAATAGGTAGAGGGACTAGTGTGAGAGAAAGAAAGAAGCATCTTTCGAAAGTGTTCAAAGGACACTCCTGAAGATGAGCCAGTCAGATTCTAAGATCGGATGTGGAGGACTGCACCACTTCTGCACTAGGTATACTCTTCACCCATTGTAGAAAGATGTTGCACATATGGGTGGAAAAATAGAGGAGCACATTCAAGTGGGAGAGAGCCTAGGTCGGATAGTGATTCGAACCATACAATATTTATGAAACTCTATCATAGAAAATATAAAAGTGAGTAAACACCCCCAATTGAAGTGTAGAAATCTGCAATACAAGGAACAGTGGGTTCTGCAGGGGAAAACCCTTGACCCAGAAACCAATGGTGGAAAACATTCCATTTACATTGACAAACTTCCATGGAGGAAGGGCAAATGGAACGAGCCAGAAAAGAAGCTACCCTTCGGGACAAGCTGGATCTCCTCACCAAGGACCAGATAAAAACCAGGTATGAAGATGGAGGACAGGAAGGGCTGGATGTAGCACTGGTGACCAAAGTTGATGAAGAACAGATAAAGTCAGAGGAAGGGGTAATGGAAGGGGAAGTTGGAGCTGAAAAAGCCACGGAAACTATGGCTGAGCCAGCCAATAATGGGCAATCAGAAGGACTTGACACAGAGTAGCATGGATGATCTAAATCACCTGGTGAAGAATTTGAATGGGAGGATAGACATATAGGTATTTGCAGGTCCAGTCCTGGCTAAAAGCATTGACAGACAGCCAGAGCAGAAGGATTCCTGTTGATCGAACCCCCATCCATGAAGGGATGCATCTGTGAAAATGTGTAAATCTGGAGGAGGAGGAAGTGAGACACCTACCTTGCTTGTGAGTCTTGTCCAACCACCAATGCAGGTCATTGCCAAGGGTAGGAGGAAGGGTAATAAGAGCCCTTAAAGGATCCCTCGCAAGAACCTCATGAGCTGTAAGAGCATGGAGAACTGAAAACTCCATCAAACGAAGTTGAAGAGGAGAAGGTTGGGCCCACTAAGACTGGTGTTGAAAAAAACAGCCAAATGGATACGATATTGGGTAGGTCATAAGAATGAGTTCTCTAACTTGATTAACCAGCCCACTCAAGCTGCTTCCAGGAGCAGCTAATGAGTGTGACAGGCAGACTCCTGTTTGGAAGGAGCTAACAGTAGTCAGTTGTCCATATAATGATGAAAGCACAACATGAAAGCATGTATGTGATGAGAGAATGATTTTGACCACCCAACAAAAAACATATGGGGCCAAAGCAAGCCCAAAGGACAAAGTGTGAAACTAATAAACCACCTTATGGTGAACAAACTACAGATAGGGGCGAAACTGATGAGATATTGGGATATGCAAGTAAGATTTGCAACTTCCATCTTGGTCATCCATAAACCTGGAGAAAAAGCCCAACTAAGGGTGAGAAACATCTCCATGGTGAAACAGGGCAGATTGAGAAATTGATTGAGGTAGGACAAATCTATTACAGGCTGTCAGTCTCCAGTTTTCTTGGGGACAACAAAGAGGCTGGAATAAAAGCCTAGAGAAAGATGATGAACAGTTTTGATGGCCTGTTGAGACAGAAGGTCTTGTACCACCTTTGACAGATGCTGGCTGGTGGTAGGATCCCGATGCATGGGGAAAGAAATGAGTACCTGAGACTAAGGAGAGGGGAAAGAAATTGTAGGACAAGTCTTTTTGTTAAAAAAAATGAAGAACCCAAGGATCTGTGTTGAAAGATCACCAAAGGGGAACAAATTTGTACAATCAAGCTCCCACTGGACCAGAACCCACTGTGTAGTCTCAGGTACTGTTGGTGACATGCTCATCTACATAGAATAATATGCTGAGATGAGACACCCCTGGAAGGAGGAACAGGTAAAGGCTGAGAAGGACCAGGATTGGAAACAGGAATAGGGGCTTGTCTTGGCTCCAACTGCAATAAATGTGCTACCAAAGAGAAAAGGGTAGAATGTTGATGCACAGACTCCACACACGATTCCAACGTCTCAGGTACATGATTGATAACATACTGCTGAAGAAAATGTTCCATATGTAAATCCCTAAGATAATGGGGTGGCAAAAAAACCTGGGACGAGGCTGTATCTCGACCCGGAATATATCAACAACAGAGAAACCACATGTGTAAAGTGAGAGCTGAAGATGACAATCTAGGGAGAAGCTTTCCCTCAAAAAACCCCAATAGGTCTTGGTGGATCACCTTGAAAATGAGATGGATAGTACATAAATACTGTAGAAGGGAAGTTAAGGTAAGATGAAGGTGTGAAAACTGGGCATGGATTGAATGCACAGGAAAATCAGGGACTCCCCCACACACAGGTAAAATCAACCCCAAATGCTGAAAGTCGAGAAATGGACAGTCAGTCTGATAGTAAGCTAATGCAAACTGATCCGTAGCCCATGCTGGCACCCTCAAGCAATTGTGAAAGCATATTCCTAAGCATGAACCCTAATATCTGGGGAGTGTGGGTAAACTAAATATACGTAGAGGAAGAACTATCATGCAACAAAGAAGGATGGAGATCACAGGAAATTGTGGAAATGGATAAAACATCACATACCTGCGAAATCATGTCTAAAAAATGCAGTATTAGGCCTAGCTGATTTTGTAGGTGGTGCAAACGAAGACACGGCAAAATCCAGTGGAGGAAAAAGACTATCACGATCTTCATTGGCCTGAACAGTTTTGGC